TACATTATCATTCTCAATGACCATAAAGCATAATACTGATTTTCAACATCTTGGGTACTTGTGACATAGTGCACCTGTGTGATTCAGTCAAACAAACATTGTCCAAAAAAATATTAGCTCAAGCAAATCAACATTCACACCTCAACACCAAACTTTTAATAACAATCCAATAAATCCTTGATAACGAAAAATATTTCGTTGAAAATAAACACAAAATATCAATGAAAAAATGTCTGACTTCAACATTATAAATGACATCAAACTTTTAATAAAGATATTAAAAACCATTAATATCGAATGATCAAGTCACTGATAAGGAAATAGATTTTTGTAATAAAAATATTAATAATATTTAGATGCAATGTTTAATGTCAAATAGCAGTAAAAACGCATTAATAAGTAACATGTTTTTAATAGATAATGCATCCAAAAACTTTGATAATGATAGCAACTAATGATTTTTAAGTACCTTATTAGATATTATTAATATCTTATTTTTGAAACATTGATAATGTTTATACACACCTATTAATAATGACACCAACTACGTTACTAACTTAGACTGAAAGATTAATAACCATAGTTATATCATTAAAAGTAAATTTACTTTTGCTAATGTCATAAACAAACGAATACCTAACAAGTATGCTTCTTGATAATGACATTTGACAAAGTTACAAACATAAACAAAAACATATTAATAATTCAAATCACTAAACATAAGCAATCTTATAATGAAATAAATTTTTGCTAATGGTTGTATTGTGCTTGAAAAAAAACATTGATAATAGCACTTCAAATGATTATAAATCATTGCGAACCAAATTGATAATACGATGTAATAGTAAATAAATTTCAAGTACCAACAAATTGAAAACACAATTTCACTTTTGCTAATGTTACAAACAAAACATAACATAAAAAGTTAATAATGTCATATAAAATTATTAAAAAACATGTCGAACAACATTAATAATAACACAAATGAATACCTAACAACGAAAAATCCCAAACTCATGCAACGAAAAGCCCTAATGATGATTCAATTTATAAATATTGATAATGTCATTACAAAATGTTAATACTTAATACTAATCGGAAGAAGTCAAGATGTGAGAGAGACATATATTTTAAATTTTAAATTTCCATTTTAGAAAAATAAAACTATTAAATTCAGATTTTATTAAATATTAAATAAAATTAATTTCATATTTCTTTTTAATTATAATGTAGAGAGAGGGTTATGGAGAAAATCATGGGAGGAGAGAGAAAGAGAATCATTAATTAATTATATTAATTATATTTGCATAACCTCATTTATTCTTAACTACCTATTAACTACTAACCCTTATTAACTACCTAATCCACTATCAGCCAATAGGAAGACTTTAAGATTCTCCTTAAGAAATGAGGCTTAAGGACTTGAACTCAAGCCCCAACTTGATGTTTGACAGTTAACTTGGACATTCAAACGCGTTGACTAACGGTTAACGAGCCACGTCACTGCCAAATCAACAACTTTCAATTAACTTTTTTAAAATTTCCACCTATTATCATTTCCCTTTTTTAATTTTGAACAAAGAAATATGCATTTTACTTTTCGGGGAACAACTGCTTACCCACCTTATCCACAGAAATCACCTGTCACCCCCTCACTTTCTCCTTCCTTCATCGTCAAAGCCGATTTCCTCCCTCGTCCGATGAAAATGCAGCGACATGCGTTCTTCTAAGCTCGCGACCACCATCGATTTCCACCCTTCTCCCTTTACTCTCGAGCGAAGGGTTCGTGAGGTCAGTTTCCGCCTCCTCCTTGCGATTTCTGCTTCTCTGGATTGAATCGATGTGGTGAAAACAAGACCACATTCCAAATGGACCACAACCGCCAGATCGTGGTTCCCACCAGCAACGTAAGCCATCCCTTTCTGTCCATTTCGTTTCTTTTTTAATCCTTGATAAATACAAGGATTAGAGTTTTTTCAAGTAAAGTAATGCTAGTGACCAGCATTTGTCGGGTTCAGAGCTGGAAATTGATATTAAAGTAATGCTTTCCCTTTGTCTTTGACGGGTTAAGTGAGTTATACAATGATTAATCAAATGCGCATGAATTTTTTGTTTGTCTTTGTTAGAATGGACGATATTATTGAGCTTATTATGTATCGTGAAGGCGCAATGGATATGTCAGGGGATGTTCCACAATACGTTGGGGGGGGGGGGGGGGGGGTTATCGATGTCGTGAATGTGAATTGGGATGTCTTGTCCTATTTTGAATAGACGAAGACTTTGATTGAAGATTTGGAGTATATTTCCGTCGAGAGACTATGGTACTTGACACCTGGGCAAAGTATGGCTACTGGATTGCATGAATATATTTCGGATGTGGAGGTTGTAACGGGATTGCTTCCCTTGGTTGGAACTGGAGATATAAGGGTGTACTTTGAGGCAAAAAGGGATCTTGGAGAGCTGGGTTATATGGGAGACAATTATAGCCATTTTCCTGAAGGAGAAGATGCATTTGGAGACAATTCAGTTGCGCCTGAATTTGTTCGGCTAGACGAAGATGATGCTCAGACATCTGACGAGGAGTACCATGAAATTAGAGCTTATGCTCGGTGAAGAATTAGAAGATTTAAAGCAGAGCTTGATGGTGAAGGAAGTTCAGTGAATCAATTATTTGCGTGGGATGTCAACCATCATGCTGATGTGGCTTCAGATAGTGCTAGCATTGAGGGGGGATCGGCAGCTGAGACTGTGGAGCTTGATGAGAGTTTGGAGATTGACGACATCATTGTTAGGAGTGAGGAACAGAGGAACGTGGATCATGAGATCAATGCTAAAGGATCAGTTGATACAGAGTATAGGGCCTCTGAAGATTCTGCTCATGTTAGAGGGATTATTGCTGAAGATGAAGTGATACAAGTTTCGACAAGAGCTTGTGTTATGATCCCAACTGTGATCATAACACATTGAAGTTCAAAACACATGCAGTTTATATCTCCTGCTCATTTTAAAGATGTTGTTGTGAATAGTGCAATTCAGAATGGAGCGGATATTAGATAGATTAGGAGTAGTGAATTGAGGAAGGAGGTTGTGTGTGGCCAAAGGGATGAGTATGGTTGCAAATGGAGGCTTTATGGTAGTTTGTTTCATGGACAAGAAACATTCATGGTGAAAGCTTCTGGACCAGACCATAGTTGCCCTCGAGTGATTCGGATTCGTGCGGCAGGTTACAAATGGATCACATCTGAGTACCTCTAGGTTTTTTGGGTAAATCAAGCATGGAATGTCAACTTAATAGATGTTGAATTGAAGACCAGGCAAAATCTTTATTGTCCAACCAAACTTGTTATAAAGCACGTTTGGAGGCTCGACGACGGCTTCACGGGTCACTTACTGAGGATTTTCACAAACTCAGGGACTATGTTGGTCATTTGCTCTAAGTTAACCGTAGAGGGGCATTCCTGCACGAAGTTGACACTGTGCCTGACTCAGATAAGGTCTATTTCAAGCGGTTATTCTTTGGTTTCTCTAGCTTGACTCGGGGTTTCTTGGAAGGGTGCAACCCTTTCTTTTGTCTAGATGGCTGCTTCTTGAAATGATAAGTTCAAGGAATGTTACTGTCGGCTGTTGGAAAGGATGGTAAGAACCATATGTTCCCAATCGCGTAGGTAATCATCGAATTGGAGAACAAAAGTTCTTGGACATGCTTCATTAAAGCATTGCAAGACCTACTTCGGATCGAAGATGGTGGCGAATGGACAATCATGTCTAACTAAAAAAAGGTATGCATTCCTACTTGGTTAATAAACCATTAAAGCATTTGAATTGCAAGTTGGCTTTCTTTGTACTTACTATGTGATTTGCAGGGGTTAGTCGAATAGCTAAATGACTGCATGCCTTCTGTAGAACATCGAAAGTGTGTTCGTCATGTCCACGCACATTTTAGAGAAAACACAAGTCAACTATGGCTTCTGATTTATATTAGGAGGCGGTGTATGCATTAAATGAACCCGATTGGAGGGCTGATGTTGAGAAATTGAAAGAACTTGGAGGATCCGAGTATACAGACTTCATGGCCATGAAACCAGAAAGGTTTTGTAGAGTGTTCATGCAAACCTACTCCAAAAGTGATTTCGTAGAGAGCAACATTTGTGAGTCTTTCAACAACTGGATCTTGCGGTTTAGGAGTTGAGACCAATTGCAATGTTGGAGGGCATCCGAGTGGCTGTCATGACACAAATTGTCAAGAATCGAAGAATGATGGAGCGCAAGAGGGATAAATTCCCACCAGTAGTTAGGGGTAAACTTGAGAAGGCCAAGCATTTGGCCCGACTGTGCACCAGTCTCCCTTTTACAAAAGCTAAACATGAGGTATCCATGGGAGACAAGGGTTTTGTAGTTAACATGAAGAATACATGCATATTATAGTACCAATCCTTACACCGAGAAAAGAGTCCCTAGGCTCTATCTGAGAAGGAAAGCCTTCACGCCCTTGCTTTCGTAACCCGTGCTTGATGCCGCAACGAGAGTAAGCGCTGAAGGGTAGTTGCACCTGCAGATTCTGGTTGCTCAATGAAATACCATGCTTCCATGCCTTTGCTGCCATCACCTACTTGAGAGAGAAACCAGACGATTTCGTGGATGATTTCTTCTTGATGTATCGAGTAAAACGTGCATACATGCACCCTATCCCACCATCAGAAGGTTGTCAAGCATGGCTTCGAGTGGAAGGATACAAGGTGTACCCACAACGGATACGTCGAATTCCTGGATGTCCAAAAACTAAAAGGAAGAGGGAGGCATGAGAGGCAACTAGGAAGCCTTCAAAAGATGGACATAGGGAAGTTGCTACTCGACACAACCTTGTTATCCACTGCACCACCTGTGGAAAGGATGGTCACAACAAAAGGACCTGCAAGAATGCAACAAAGACAACATTATTTCCAAAGAGAAAGTCCACAACATGACCTCCAAAGAAGAAGGGAAAAGCAACAACTGACCAAAGAACATCCAACGAGGTAAGCTCATTTTAACTCCAGCTTGTCATTATTTTTGTTGATAATACACGAAGCTGTTTGTAACTTGAGCTTGTTACAACTTCAGCCAAACAAAGGAAGAAGAACAGATGCTCAAAGTGTGGGTCGGAGCATCACAATGCTATAAGATCTCCTATGAATGTTGGTATTCAGGTATAGTGTGAATGGTGTTTGAATCCAATGTGAATGGTGTTTGAATGGAAATTTCTACTCGACACAACCATGTCCATATGTTTGATCCCAACTGTGAATGGTGTTTGAATTTGATATAGTGTGAATGTTTGAGCATGGTGTTTGAGAGTGAGTTTGGATTGATGTAGTGTGAATGTTTGGACTGTGTAGGCTCCTCATGTCGGCTCATCTCGTAGGAATGTAACAGATAGGGAAATGACAATGGCAACACAAGGAATTGGAACCTATATTGATGAGAACACCGACAACATGTATGCTAGGGTAAGACTAATTCTTTGCTTATAATGCAACTTTCTGTTTTTTAGTAGGTAAGGCTAATTCTTTATTTTTTGGCAGCTAAGTACGAGGGTTCCAGAGGGTGCTGGAGGTGTGAAAGCCATTGCACCAGACTGTCCTGTCGTAGGTGGTACACAACTGCCTACTACTTAGCCAGAGACGCCCTATGGAAGCTAGAAGAAAGCTTGGTAGCTTAGGTTTTAGGAATGCTCCACACTTTTTTAATTTGTACATGGTTGCAAATAGTAGCACATGTTTCGGATTATGTACTCTAGTCTGAATGTGGAGTAGTAGGAACCTATTTTGTACATGCTATGACATATTAGCAGGATCTGATTTATGTTAGGTACTCAGAATTCAGACTTAGGTTAGCAGTAGAAAGCTTCGAGTCACTTTTTTGCCAGGTACTCAGAATCCAGACTTAGGTTAACAGGATTCTGCCCTATTTTGTACATGCTAGGACATGTTAACATGATGGTGATATATGTATATGGTTCACAAGGGTTGGTGAATGCAAGTATGGTTGATGTTGATGTATACTAGATCGATTGAAATTGATCAATTTTATTAAACATAAAATCTCCATTACATATGAACAAGAAAACAGACAATTACAATCTTGCATTTTTAGTCAACATAAAATCTTCATTACATACGAACCAGTCCACACACAATTACAACAACGACCACGAATAGCACACAAAAACAACATAAAATCATCCTCTTTTAAAGGGCATAAATCGTATATCTCATCTTTCGCAGTTTGACACAACTTGCAGCATTGAGTTCGGCAAGTTAGGTCAAGTCTTCTAAAATCGCATCCTTCTCTTCCTTCCGTTTCCTATTCTTCTCTTCTACTTTACGAACACGGCCTTCTAGCGCTTCCATATCACCAAGCTTCAACTTCAGTTCATGATTCTCTTTCATCAATCCATCAACCATCGAGTCACTCTCAGACTCATCATCAACCCATCGGAAAAATCGACAATTCTTTGTGATCCTACATAAGAAGAAGAGGTGAATCATGGTTGTGTTGGTCGAAAACAAATATTTGAACAAAGATTTCAACCTACCTTCCAATATGGACAAGAGTAGAACATTCTTCTAGGATTCAAGCTAGTGTGAGATGTATTCATCACTGAAGGGGCTTTGTGAACTTTACATCGAATCGTGGTTGTGTTGGTCGAATGGGAAGAAGAGGAACCTTCGTCGGCATTTTTCCTGGATCTCCTCGACATGTCTCTTTCTGCGCGCAAAGTAGGTTGGTGGTCAAACCTTCAACGGCGACGGCGACACTGAGTTTTTCTATCGTTCCCTACAATTTCGTTGGCGGCCGGTGCAGTGGGGAATGAGAAGAGAGGAGACAAATTGGGGGGATGAATGGGGTTAGGGCATCGAGTCTGTTGGGAGATATACCCGAAAAGTAAATTGCATGTTTTTTGTTCAAAATGATAATAGGTGGAAATTAATAAAAAAAAATTAATTGAAAGTTGATGACTTGACATTGACGTGGTTCTTTGACCGTTAGTCAATGCGTTTGACCTTCCAAGCTAACGGTCAAACATCAGGTTTGGCCAATTTTGTTATTTTGATGTATAGTTTGGGCAAAGATGTTATAGATCAAAAAAATTGGCCAGAATGTTTATTATGGTTAAAGTTCAGGCCATACAAATATATTAACCCTAAGAAATAAGAAAAAATTTACATTAAATTTGGTTATGCCAATTTCTAAACTGACACGCGCGACCTGACCAGCTCTGACATGTTTGTGATGGGTATTACCAGACACGCAATAGCGTGGGGCTGGGCATGGGTTTGCTTCCGACCCGCACGTCCTGCCCAGTTCTCGACTTATTATATCGTATTTGTACCAATATATATGGATTTCTTCCCTTTTGACTTTTTAAAAATCATATTTTTATCCCAAAAATTTTAAGATTTTATTTGTGAACTATTTAGACAGGATTATTCAACCATATAAAAATTTCTCATTCATTTATCAAGTGTGTTCTTTATATGTTCTTGTAAAAGAGTTAATTATTTAACTTTCTTTTTTCAAATAACATATAAGAATAGGTTATACTGTCTTGCACCGTATCTGTGCGGGCATTACCAGACCCGAACCCGACCCACCCTTAATACATGGCGGGTATGAGTATTGAGGTATCCCTGCCCTATCGCCATCACTAATTAAAATTGAATATCTATTTTCTTTTAGACACCAAATACTAAAATCCAATTTAGTTTAGGGATGGCAAAAATGACCCAATATTTGGGTATTTTCCAAACGACCAAACCTAACTTATTATGGGTAATATTAAGTTTGGATAATTTTACTTTTGGGGCATACTCATATCCAATTTTTTAGTTTGAATCTAAATTGAACTCATAGACTATACGCAAAAAAGAAGATAGGTACCAAGTTATAGTGCAATTTTTTAATATCAAGCAAATAGAAAGGCGGAAGCCCTTATATTAAAGATGTATAATTGGGTTGAAGGTAGTTAATGAAATGGTTGATATTGTTTTTTTGTGTGTACAATTATCTAGACCTACTTAGACCCTTTTAGGTTTAACCCAAATGAATTGACCCAAATATGACCTAATTCAAACTTAAACTCAAACCCTTTAAAAGTACATATGATCCATTTAGGTTGGACCCAATACCTTCTTGAGTTATGCCAACTGAGTCAAATTACCAATGCATCAAATCTTTTTTTTTTTTTTTTGCCAAAAGATCACTCGTATTACCGAGAAAACAGCAGATACAAAAGAGTCACATAGCTGAAAACATACAAGAAACAAAATTGAACCCCACCAAAGAAGGGGACAACGAAAGGGTTTTTCTTGCCACCAAATGGGCAACCCTATTAAACTCCCGACCCACAAAAATAACCCGGAACTCCTAGAACAAGTCGCGCATACTTCAAATCTCTTCCAATAACTTACCTCCATGGACATCAGCTACCTCACCAATGCATCGAATCAATGCCATGTCTATTATAGACCCAAACTAAAAAATCAGGTATAAGTCTACATCAAAAGTAAAATCACTCTAGCCTAACCTGATTTGTCTCATAGTAAATTAGGTTTTGGAAAAACTCAATATAAAGTCTTTTTTCCCATCCCTGCGTTTGGTGACTTGTATTAGTAATTTATTTCATATTTGCCGATAACCAAAATCATTCTTAATTCATATGTCATCACTGAACTTAAACCCTTATATTATCGTTGGTCACTCATCATCTAATTTTAAATTTCTCTTAGATGACAATCAATTGTAATAAAATATATAATTGATATAAATATAAACAATTCCTAACCACAAAATTTGAAATATCAAATCATTAGTGAAGGGGTCGTTTGGTTTGATAATACTTAAATCAATGCATTGTGAACGATGCATGGATTGTAATATACAAGCAATTAAGAAAAATGATGTAATGTACTTTACATTGTTTGGTTTTGGTGATAGTTGTTTTAGTATGCAGTCAGGCATCCTAACATACCGGCGGACTTTAACCTTGTTGTCAAAACTATCTCAACAATCTCAAGTTTTAGTAGAGATATTACTATCACTCATTTTGAGTGATAGTAAATAAGTGGTAGTTTCCATCAGTTCACATCAACAAAACAATAAGTGTATTGTTTAAGTTAATAAACAAAAAAAAAAGAAGATACATTATTAACATTGCACACATTGTAACAATCTCAACTAAAACTATCACCAAAACTAAACAAACTCGAAGTTATATACACAAATATCCAATTTCCCAATGTACCTTCTCATCAACAGCCATAGGACAAAACTCTGAAATCATTTTAAATGTATTCTTTGGCTTGCCTTTTTGGTTGTGAAATACCAGTTGCCGGGGGATGGGGGAATAGTAGCAGATGGATGTATAATTTCCCTGAGATATGATGATGAGCTGCCTGCCTCTGCCTCTGCCTGGGCTGGTTTTTTTGTCTCTACTTGTAACTTGTAAGTATTTTGTTCGATATCATCATCATCGACTGGCATTGCATTGGTGTTCTTCCTCCCCTGTCTTATTTACCATCTCTTCTCTTACAACAACAAATGCTTAATAATAACATCAAGAGTCTCTACTTAGCACCAAGTCATGCCTAGTGTTTTAAGAAAGTTTGAGGAATAATGCGAGCGTTGAGTCTATCCTGTTTCAAGAAAATGTTAGGAATAAGGTGAGCATTGAGCCATATCAAGTGGTAAAAAAGCAGTGCTGTCAAAGCCGAACCGAGCCGGCCGGCCGGACCGCCAAAGCCGCCACCCGGCCGTAAAACTGGCTCGGATCAGCTATTTAACCGTCACGGTTTTATACAGCGGCCGGCGAGCGGCCGAAGCGGTCAACCGCTCGAGCCGCTCAAGCCGGTCGCGCGGTTCGGCCGTTTGGTTTATCCTAAATTTTTTTTTAGAAAAGGCCAATCGTGGAATCGGCCGTCAACACCTCTTGTCTCGGCATCGGCGCTTCCCGACGGCATCGCCATCCCTAGTCGCCATCGCATCGCCATCGCCAGTCCTTGTTGTAGCAAGCAGCTCCCCGCTCCCGGCGCTTCCATCCCTTCGCCACCGTCGCAAGCAGCTCCCCGCTCCCGGCACTTCCATCCCGTCGCCACTGTCGCAAGCAGCTCCCCGCTAAGCTGCCCTGTCTCACCAGAGGCTTGGATTGAATCCGAGCCATTTCGCGGATTGGGACGAGGAAGAGCATTTACGGGTTAAGAAAGGATGAGGAAGAATTGAATGTGGTGATGGATTTTTGAGGAATTGCAGAAGGCTATAGTGGCTGAAAAATGAAAATAGGTGCGGCGGTGGGAGAGGGAGGGGGGATGGGGAAGCGGAAGGAAGGAGAGTGATGGGTGGGGAAGCGGCGCTGGCTGCTGTCGCTTAGGATTAGGTTAGGGTTTTTTTTAGTTGCTGTATATATATGTTGTGTAGAATTATTAAATGGTACCTGTAATTACCATTTTTACTCATTAAATCATTGAATTATTACTTTATGTGTGTTCTACTATGATATTATATTGTTTATAATGTACCGGTTCTCAACCGGTTTTTAAACGGTCTAATGCCGGCTGGACCACTAATGACCGAGCCGTTCACGTTACCG